GCTTGAAGAATGTCTGAAATAGAAATGCGAACTCAATTTGAGGTGTTTTCTTTCAAACTTCACTTATATTCCATCAAATACGCAATTTTCAAAGAAAATTCGTAATAATAAGTTTGAAGATCATTCGAAATGATTGATGACTCAGGAGGAAAGGCACTGCCAGCTGGAAGGAGTGGGAATTCAAAATGCATAATAAATGTCTAATCTTATCTAGAGCTTATTCGTCTCTGGTCTAGTTCAGAACTTCTAAAGCTAGTATTCTACACCTTTTCGCTTTTGTTTCTTAGAGTTGAAAGCTTGAGGTGTCCTCTAATCGCAAGGTTTAATTGTAAGAGCCGGGCCGTGAGGGTAATATTCTCAACAGAATCCATCAGTAGTTGGCAACAACTAAAAGCAACTGTGCAAGCAGATCAATCGAATATTCGATCCATTTTTCGAGTTGAGCTGGAAGCTTTTTCTCCTGCGAGAGTGCGCTCTCGAACAGCTCATCGTCGACAAATTCAGGTGTGTACTTTGCGGTGATGGTATATTGACAAGCATCGAAACTGAACACTACGCGAGAGCGGGAGCCTTAAAAAGAACACTGGTACATTTTATCGCCAAAGATCCAATTGTGAACATCGCTTGTAATATTCGAGTTTTAAGCTGCTGTGGATGTGCTGAGGTTGGTTTGCGTCATGCTTTGGAACTCAATTTAATATTGTTACGAGTACTTCTATAAGCAGTTATTTTGAAAAACTTTGCATCTCCACAACCGCTGTGATCGCTGCACTGTAGTGTCTTGTGGGAACTGTATGTATCACCTACAATTGCTGGAAAATTCTATACAAACATCACAAATCACCTAATACAAATTACCCTTCGTATCTGGTAGCCAGGTACGTCTGCGCTGCAGACTTCACAACACAACTGACGACGGCCTCCATGTGAATGTGGTGACAACAGTTCATAGTGACAGTCGATAATTAAAAAATGAAATAGTGACGACAGAGAATTAACAGATTACAACTGCTATCAGCTAATCATCTCTTTGGCAGAAACTATTACATTTTGTGGAGACCGTCGTCAGTTCTTCAGTGAGGTCTGCAGTGCAGACCCAACTGCCCGCCGGATACCAAGGATATTTTGCTCGTTCGTGACTAACTCACATCCTTCACCTTAGAACACAAATATTTCATCATTCTTGATAGAACGATTATCTTCCAAACCTAACACAGAGAAATCTCTTCACTCCAAAGGCGCGGCTCCCGTAAGGGCAGCTTTACACTTGGCGGTGGCAAACACATGCCTGAAGAAGGTGTTAAACACCGAAATATCGCGGAGGATTTCAAAAGGATTCTTTTTCAAATAGCTTTTTGCTCTTTTGAAACTTTTGAGTTTTTGGAATTTTTGAACTTTCTGAACTTTTGGAATTCTTTTGAAATAAAATTTTGGTGCCTCTCTGTGTTATACAATATTTATAGTTTATTTTATGCTCTTTTCATTTTATATTTCATATTCTTTATTCGTAAAACTTCTGCTTACACCCTCACTCACCCCGAGAGTGCCCGAAGAACGTCTTAAGAGATTTCAAAGAGCATTGGACCAAAAATTTAGTAACTTGTCTCATGTGGTTCCAGCGCTTCTGGGTGCACTCTATTTACCACCCTGGGCTTGCTTTTCTTTCCATCATCTGCGTTTAAAGAAGCCTTCTTGTAATGCGACAATAATATTGCGATGCTGTTCACGCAAGACAGCTTTGAGCGCTTGTGACAATCTTTTTTGCTGGGTTCTTCCTTTTATTCTGAATATTAATTCAGTTTTAAACTTTATTTATTGGAAAGTTCGTAAGACGACTTTCTTGAGATAGCGATGAACGTCCATAGGCATGCATCCCAATTCATTCTTTCAAAAGGATAATAAAGCATGATATTGCAGCAGTTGTGAGTGATGGAAAGTTTTTTTAAGGGAGGCTAACTTGTTTGCTCTTACCAGATGATCCATTTTCTTTAGCGTTCATGTGAGCGGCATCCGGTACTGACCATGATACCGTATGTTAGCCATTCACTAATCTGTCCAGTAGCGGCTGCTCCTGCACTTCCTCCAGTTGTGGCAGCACGACCATCAACGTCATACTTCCCACTATGGTTACTATTACTTCTACTTCTTCTCTTACTGCTATGCTGTTTGGCACTCTGCCTAATTCCATTTCTTCTGTGGCGAAAACGTCGGAAAACAGTAGCGTGAGTTCATATTTTAATCATTTCTTTTATAACAATAGTTGTAAAGTTGCGTTTCTTTGTGTAGTGCATCAACGAGCAACGCTGCACGACGAAGAGTTTCATTCGTCACTCGGCTGAGTAAGAAAACACTGCCCACAATACACGACTTTACAATCAAATGGCACACAATTTCACTTCAGAATTCCGTTATGACCAAGCTATCGCGCACAAGGGATAAAGTGCTCGGCGCTGATCAATCCCTCTGCAATGCGCCGCTCTTGTAACTTCGTTTTATCGCGGAGAATCGTATATGCAATCAAAAATGTGTGTTGGTGTGTTAGTATTGTTCGGCTTGCACAGCAATTTGGACTTGAAGAGGGGAGGGCTCGGATGGAGTGAGTGAATGAGCATTGAGAGGGGATGAAAAATTGACTCCTCCAGAAAGGTTGTGACTTGCAGATTTGGAGCACTCGTTAAGCATGCCCCCCCCTTTACTCAGCCGCCATGTCGGGTAACCGCGTAGCTATCTATTTCATATTTTTCCACATCTCTCGAATGTTTTTCGGACTGCTACAAGCTGATGAGCACTTTAGCGCTGTGTGGCAGGATGGATGACAGCTACTGTAATTATTAATCAATTATTAAGATTATGCGGTTTTGAGATTCATAGAGATGCCCTAGCCAGTGCGACATTGCCGGCAGGAATGCAGCAGATGCACAACGATTCGAGAAAATACGACCGTTCACTTAAAGAAGGCAATGAATTGCCCTTAGAAGACCATTGCGCGTTTCCGGGCAATTGTAAGATTGAATCCATACCATTGAGGCGCCAGTTTCTTGCTATGATGGGTGCCGAGCATGAAGTAATAACGTAGAGAATAGGTCCTGCCCCGAAAAAGGAGATTAGGAAATAAGTGAAGGCGTTGGGGATAAGGAGCTGGCGTGATGGCATTACATGGGCACAATCTCTGAGCAGGTAGTCGAGGCTGGACGGGAGAGTGGAGAGGGTGAGGAACATTTCTGGTTAAAATCGGGATCCAATTGTGTATCCTTACTGATGAAGATCACTCAACAACTATGGCCTCAGCATTCTTTTCAAAACCGTAGAGGTCTTCCTTCGGCCACACAAACACAGAAAAATTTGATTGACAAGCGTGCAGCTGCATAGCGGACGGACAGCTTGCGCAGGCTATGGCACCCTGACGCCGACCCTGTCGGCATCCCCCGTTCTTCATGAACATCTTTTCGCTTGCTCAAAGAAGATTAACTAGCGTTTTACTAGAAAGTATTTTTTCTTGGTATTTGTCAAGTGTTGATAACAAAAATTTGTTTCAACTTCGTACACACTACTAGTCAGTTTAACAAATTTCGTGATCAGCTTAAGCAGTTTGTGCAGGGTTCAATCGAAGCGTTGATCGTTCAAAACAAGGGTTTTCCTCTCTTCTCGGTATCGCTGAATTCTGATGACGCAGGCAAGACGCAACTTCCCTACTTCCACCATAATGTCCGGACGGCCATCGTTGCGAGTTGGGTAGAGGGAGTGGGGGGGGGGGGAGTCTTAATGATTTTGAACATCATGACTTATTTTATTGAATTTCCTCAATTCAAAAAAGGTTGAGCGATTCTTTTACCGCTGAACCCTGCAACTTCCAAAATTAAATTACCTTTCCAACTTAAACGTTTTACCAACCGCGGGAAATGCGCCTACAAAAAACGAAAACGCTTTAAAAAAAAATTAGAACCCCCAGCTGGGATGCGGATGAGCTCGGTGACTAGCTGGATGATAGTTAGGGGGGGGTACATTTAACTTTCAGTATGATGGCTGACGCAGGGGAAGGATCTGGGAAACTAGATAGACCCTCCTTCGAGATTTTGACTTTCAAGAGGAGGAATTTTTGTGAGCTTGACAGATCCATAATACAAGCAATGCAGCAGGAATCTAACTGTGACCAGTTGTCGGTCAGCAGTATCTTGTAACTGTAATTTTTGATGATGACGCACTCATTTGAAATGTCGCATGAAGAAATGGCAAGATTCGTCAAATGCAATCATGATCCGGTTGGTATTCCGTAAACTTAGCCCGACTTCGAGGTTATTTAGGGACATGCGAATTATATAGTGCAGACATTTTGTGGAGCGTTTACAAATTGGGGCAAAGAGAACTTGTAAGTCAACCACTGAAAACAGTAAGCAATTTGCTAAGCTATAAATTTGTGGTGGGAACCTCGATGGTGATGAATCGGCTGTTTGTGAACGTTTCCGCGATCTGGACTAGATGAGAAATTCCGGTAAATATTTTCATACACTTCTCACACCTGCTAGAAAGACTCGCGACCACATTTGGCAGAAATTAGTAAGGAAAAGCTGCCCAGTTCGTTCACGTCCGACCCGTATTTGACTTTTTGACCCCAGATATCTGAGTTCTAAGCGCAAAAAATTCACACCTGGATGTTACTGACTAAAGCTTTTTTTGCATTTTTTTGGTTTACATTTTTGCTACAGATAAATTTTTCCCTTTTCTCAAAAATTGTTCACACCTTTTCGGAGAATGGAGCACAAAATGCTCAGCTCAACGGGCGAGCTCCGACGCTTTCTTGTTCTATCTCTAGTCGATTAAATTGCACAGCTTACCATTCGGCCTGCATCTCATGGTGCGCCTAAACTTCAAAAGAGTGCCTAACCTCTCACACAGCTAGGTCGGACATCCGGTGATGAGCATCGCGCTTCTTTGGATTTTCAACCGCTCCGCGGCCTACCGTGCACTAAAGAGAAGACCAATAAAAGTAGTCTTTGTTGTGGCCGCCCCACAAGTTCTGACATCTTGGATCTCAGGAAAAGCATGAAGAAGCGAAACGACTGCAATACCCGGGTTGGCTCGAGAAAGGTGAACGCTGGAGTTTCTAAACACAGCCATGTAGAGAGTGGTCGGATAACAACTGCTCACAGTCCATTATAAGTTGCATAAGCACCACTGCTCAATCCAACGGGAGGAGCACAGCAGAGACAAAAAGTTCAAAGAGCTGGTGTCGAGGGCCGAAAATGGCGATTACGCGGGCACCGTTTTCATCGACGACAAAATTCCTCACATGGAGCGGAGCTACAATCTTCAAACTCCGAGGATGCCCGCATGAGGTCTTGGGAAGTCAGTGAGAGTGAAAGGAATATTCGCCACAAGCAGCAGCCGAACCTTATCATGGTCTGGACAAGGGTGAGGTATCTAGCCACTTTGAATAGGGGTGATGATCTTTTCAATAGGACCCAGCTTCTGCATAGGAGGCAAAAATTGTTCAGGAGCGCTGTGAGGCACTCTTTCCGATTTCACATCCTCGAACGAATGGCTCTCCTATCCCTTGATTTCCAGCGTGCTGGACCATCCTATGTGGGCTATGTTAGAGGGCAGAGCCTGCACTAAACATTGCATCCACATGGATGAGCCGGAGCCTTTTCTCTGCAAAGTTTCGAAGAGAACACCCCAGGATGCCACAGTAGAGTTGCGTTCGAAGCAATTGGGAGCCATACTCACAACAACAGGGGAGCATATCCAATGAATGTCATTCCTTTCAATATGTAAATGTATTGCTAAATTTCTGTAACCTCTTGAAAATACATCCATTTTGAAAGAAGTTACAAGCAAAGAAAAGTGGTGCAATATTAAATGGGACACCCTGTAATTTTGCATGTGATATCCTAGCTGGTCTTGCATCTCGTGGGGTAGTGAGATATTTGGTCAGATAAGTCGTAAAGTGGTTTCCACCTTCTTAGGCTTCGAAGAAGGCGACATTGCCGAAACGTTAGCCGACGTAAATATTGTCAATAACATTAACATAGTAACCGGCCCGAAAAAGGAAGAACATGGCATAAGACCAAGGCATGTGGGGCATAAGGAGCTGCGTGGGAATTACATGGCACTATCTCGTCGCGGTGTCGAGTAGACGTGTGAGGGTGAGGGAACATGTAACGACATCAACTTATCCTCAGATGAGCCACTCAACCTTGCCAAGCATTCTTTCAACCGTAGAGTCTCCTTCGGCCGCACCAACCCGAAAAATTGATACCAGACGGTGCAGCTCAATAAGCGACGGACAGACTTAGCCGCAAGGCTATGGAACCCTGACGCGACCCTGTCGCATCCCCCCCCCCATGAACATCTTTCGCTTGCTCAAAGAAGATTAACTAGCGTTTTACTAGAAAGTATTTTTTCTCGGTATTTGTCAAGTGTTGATAACAAAAATTTGTTTCAACTTCGTACACACTACTAGTCAGTTTAACAAATTTCGTGTGCTCAGCTTAACGTTTGGTGCAGGTCAATGCGGAGGCGTTGTCCGATTCCAATAAGGGTTTTTCCTCTTCCTTTCCTCGGTAGTCGCTGATTCTGAGACGCCGGCACAGCCCAACTCCCCCTCCTTCCACCATATATGCCTCCGAGACGGCCATGCGGCGAAGTTGGTAAGAGGGGGTGGGGGAGTCTCAATGATTTTGACACAACTTCATGATTATTTTTTTTGACCTTTCCCCACAAATTCAAAAAAAGGTTGAGCGATTCTCTACCGCCATTCCGAACCCTTCAATTCCAAAATAATACGCGTCCTTTCCAACCTTCAAACCTTTACCAACCGCGAATGCACCCGCTACAAAAAACGAAAAACGCTAAAAAAAAAACTAGACCCCCAGCTGGGAACTGCGGATTGCTCGGTTGACCCTAGCTGGCTGAAAGAAGGTCCACTTAACCTTCCATCTGATGGAGCCGAGGGAAAGGGATCTGGAAATGTGCTCCTTCGCGATTTTGATTTAAGGAGGGCTATCTATTCATATTTTTCCATATCTCTCGAATGTTTATCGGACTGCTACAAGATGATGCATCACTTGAGTACTCTTGGCAGATGTCCTGACCTTTCAAATACCAGCTATGTAATTATTAATCAGTTAGTAACTAGGTTGTTGAGACTTCTCCAGTGCGATATAGCGGCAGGAACTGCACAGATGCACCAACGATTCAGAGAAATACGCCCGCCACTAAAGAGACCG